TACATTTGATTCCCTTACTTTATGCTTTTTCATAGGCTTATGATGTTTAGACTTACTTTGGTACTAGGCACTCGTGTAAACCCTAAATCCTAAACTCGTGCAAATCTAAACTTGTGTAAATCCTAAACCATTAACCCAAAACCATAAACTATAAACACTCGTGTAAACTATCTTCACGATGAGTGGAAGTATGACTCTTAGTGGAACCACTACTATGAGAGCTACTACACATGTTTTTTCGTGTTTTTCTTTTCTAGGAGTTTTTGTTGCTTCCTATACTCCTTAATCTCATGCTCTAGGCGTGCCCCAATTTCTTCCATTTCTATATCTTTTCTTTCTTTTTCTAACATCTTTTCCTTTCTCCAAATCTCAAGTGTTCTTAGAAGGTGAACTAAAGACTTTTTTTTCAAGGTTTGGAGGTGAACTAAAGTCACTACCACTTTGAGAGGTGTGTGAAGTGTTCTTAGGCGTAATGCAAGTTTGTTAGAAAAAGATTTTTTCTAAAACTAATGAAAATGCAACCTAAGTTGTTGTAAAATGTCTTTGGAACCTCTTAAACACTCGATGTTTAACATGAAAAGTAAAGAAATTAATAAAGAAAGTAAAGATACAAACTAGACGTGTTCCTATGTGAAAGTTTGAGTGGACGCTTATGAGACTTCCAACACAATTTCACAAGCACTAATTGAAAATTACTAAATAACTTTACTAAAAAATTATAAGTTTACAAAACAAGAATTAAAGTCTAAAAAATGCAATAAATAAATAATAAAGAAACAAGTCTTCAAAATTTTTTAGTCTTCTCCTACATATTGAGCAAAGTCATTAGTGTAAAAAAGTTTCTAGTGTTTACACTCCTCTCAAAGGTGTTTGGTCTTCAAAGTCTTCCAAAAGACAACTTATCTAAAGGAGCCAAACCTCCTATATAAGCTTTCAACAACATTTCAAGATACTACCTTGTGGCAAGAACCTTGTTTACCCTCATAAGAATTTACACACCAAAACAGCACTAGAGGAAGATTTAGAAGACAAACTATAAAAACACAATTAAAAGTAGGTTAAACTGTAAGAGAATTAAATGTGACAAAACCAAAGAGTAACAAGAATGGTGACAAGCAAAAATTAAAGCACAATTTCGAAGCTAGGACATCAAAATAATAATTTTAATATTAGTTATGGATTTAGATTATAAAAACAATAAAGACTCTAGTTTTCTTCCAAATCAAATGCAAATTAATATGAAATGAAAGCTGACAAATATTTTTTTTTTATGTTGTTCACAAAATGCTCTTCATTTTTTTATCACATTTTTTTTATATTTTTCTATTTTCTAGTTTTTTTTACACTTTTATTTTTCTATCTTTTGGAGCTATTTTGTGACTTTTTTTCTTTTTGTTCTAGGTACTATATCTATGTCACAAAATTTATCAAAAATAAGAATACAAAATTGCAAAAAATGTAGAAGTAGATAAATTCAAAAGGACTCAAAAAATTGATGAAAATTTTACTACTACTTTTGTTTTTACCTAAACCTTTTCAAACTTTTTTGAATTTCAAAATGAGAGTTCAAATGTAATGTTATTGCAACCTCTCAATTTTTATTGTTTCACCAAGTTTATAATCAATTTGAATCACAAAATTTTTAAGAAAGCAATAAATATTGAAAATTACTTGACATGAAAATCTAAATCTACTAAGAACATGTTAATGATCTAATAACATGCAAGAACTTAATGATTATAAACCAAAAGCACATTAATCAAGTTGGCTAGGCATGTATAACATGTATTTTATAAGATTCAAAAAGAAAAATGACTACTAGAAGTGATAACAAAACAAAGACTAAACAAGACTCTTAAAACATAAATATTTGTATAGATTTCAAAATAAAAAGACACAATACCATGCAAATTTTCTAGCACAGATTCAACACCATATTAGGCATAAAAAAAAAGGGAGAGCTCATAGAACAAGAAATCTAAGGTAATACATAAAGATTTGGTTCATAAAAATTAGCACTAATTATTTTTTTTAACCAAAATTTTTCAAGATATTTTAGATCTATCATATATCATGCAAAAATTTAGATATAATCAACAAACACACTACAAGACATGTAAGAATACTAAACAAGACAAATATGTGAAGAATAAACCTCCATGAAAGAACTTGACTTTAATACGAAATATGATGAAATTAGTTTGTAGATAGTTGATGCTTCCCTTCAACTAGTGATACGCATTTGATAAGTATATCAATTGTTGTAGGTAGTTCAGATGATCGAATTCCAAGTTATTAAACCTATAGAAACTTGAGTTTATAGTTGTTTAATATAATTCTAGTACTAAGCAAATGTATAAAAGAAATTTTAAAATTGTTTAAATTGTAATTAAAAATCTATAGAAAAATGTAACAAAGCAATTAATAAATGGAATTAATGATAAGAGGAATCAAAGATTGATTTCATTAACCTTCCCCATGTAAATCCTTCCAAATTTTCATTGAACATTGTAATTTTACAATTAATTGAATAATTCACAATTATATTTAAACCATAATTTCTTAGGTGAAAATTTTTAGGTTGTTTAAGAGAAACCTCAATTCTTTGATAATTTTTGTTAAACAATAAGGTTAAGGACCAAAAGTCGACTGATAAGGTTTGTCCCAATTTCTCGATAATAAATGTTATTAGTGTTTTACTTAGATTATAATTCTAAAAGGGTTTCCTAAACTTGGTTAAAATTATAAAATCATGCATTAGTCAAAGCATGCATTAAGTACAAAGTAAAAATAATTAATTGAATAAAAACAATATATTGAATGAGCAAAGGGAATATTACATGAGTACATTAGTTACATCAATATCTAACAGTAGAGAACTTAATCGTTCATGATTAAGAATTACACAATAAAAAATAGACCTTTGAGTGGTATATGATTACAAGTGTAACCTCATAAAAAACACTATTTAATCTCTTTAGAATTATGCTAAAAAAAGTAATAATGGATTATGAATGAATTTAGAGGCCTCATAGAGACCCTATTTTTATAACAGTTTTGATGGGATTTTAGGTCTGATATGCTTGTTGAGAACGAGCTATATGAGTGAGCATATACATGCTTTGAGGGACGTTCTTAGATTTCACTCACTTAGAGCAATTTTGTGGTGACTTTGAGTGAATTTTGCTTGTTCAAAGTGCTTATGTAACTCAAATCAACCATGTGTATGCTTCTGAGGGAGGTTTCTAACTTCACCCGCTCAAAGCAAATTTGTGGTAGCTTTGAGAGAATTTTGCCTGCTTAGAGTGTCTAAGTAGCTTACTTTGAGTGAGTTGGTACAAGTCTTTTAAGGTTGCTCTTTGACTTGGCTCTCTTAGAGCAAATAATTTTTGATTTTGAGCGAATTTCACTAGCTTGGCACAAGTCTTCTATGTATTTTGTAGCGATAGTTCTCCTTTAAGACTTGTAACTTCTAAAATATTTTCTCCTCATGTTACATCTCAACAAAAAAAAACATTAAAAATACTTAATATTTAAATAATTAAACCCTATAATGAAATTAACTCCTGACTACTAAGTGTTTTGTGATTAAAAACAAGATTTAGAAACATAATATATATTAATAATTGCCTTAATTAAAATAGAAATTGTACACATATTTGGAAATTATCAACTAGTTTCAATGTATGTCCAATCTTCTTTTATGACCATAAAATTCAAAAGAAAACTTCAAAAGATGGAGGATGAAAGAGGAGGTAGGCGCCATTTCAAGTGAAGCTAACACAAGAATGTGAAAAACTTGTCACAAGGAAACATTCTTTGATAAAAGTTCAAAAGGAGAGAATTTCTTCAAGAGTGAGAACTAGACTTTTGGAAAAGAAAAATCAATTTTATTTCTCATAAATGGTTCAAAAGTGATCAACTACATGGAAGATAAAAGTATATATAAAGTTTGGTTAGTTTATAATACAAGCTAGACTAACTTTAGTTAAGTGTAACCAAGGTTAATTGAGTTGTACTCAAGATAACCAATTTTAGTTACATGGTTGAAATATCATTATTGCCATATGGGAAGATACCAAAAGTGTGACTAGATAAGGTTACGTGAATTGTTGTAACTTGGATGAATTGTGAGACATTTTGTTCTCCGACCTTGATGATATCTAGCCACTTGTCTTTGACACAAGTGGATGTTCACACTTGTCTCCCATACAGGTGGATGTTAAACTTTAAAGTCTAGGCATCTTAGAGTTGCACTCACGAGCCATTTAAGCTCAATAAATTCAATTCTTTTCTTTTAACTAAACCCCTCCCAAAATTCTAAACCCTAAAAATACTAATTACAAATATAAATTCCTATGCTACTTGACACAAAAATACAAGATCAAAATTGAATAAATATTTACAAGGAAAAGTGTAAAGAAGAGAAAGTAAGTTACTAAAAAGTGACCCAAAGTTCAATAAAAGTTTAAACCTCTTTCTTTTAAGTTTAATTCACTACTTTTGATTCCTTTTAGAACATCTGTAGTGGGGGTTGCTTATAAGCAACCTCTTATGTCACATCATGTCACATCAGTTCTTTTCCACTTTATGAGTTGCTTAAATTTTAGCAAAGTTACTTGTAGAAACTCCAGTGCCAAAATTTAAGCAATCCATAAAGTGAAAAAGAGTTGATGTGATATGATATGATATGACATAAGGGGTTGTTTATAAGAACTCTCACTAGAGATGCTCTTAGTCCTATTGACATATGTCATCAATTACAAATACTAAAATACTAGTATTCATAAAGTGGAGAAATAGAAGACAAAGTATTTATTTTTAAAATAATAAAAACTAATAATAATAATATAATATTAATTAATAATAATAATAATAGTAGTAGATAATAATATATTTTATCAACCAATGTAATAATATATTTTTTTCTACCAATAATTTTTTTCATTAAAAATATAAATTTTATTTGTGATTTTTGAATCTAACTCCGGGGAGCTAAACTAAAACCCTATAATTTTTTTAAAAAAAATACTAAAACCCTATAGCCCACACTCACGGACTCACAACCGAGCACTAAAGCCGCAACCTGGTCGACGGCGTTCGCGGTAGCCCTTCGCACTCCATAGCAGGTATGCTTGGTTTTGGATTTGCATTTCACTCTCAATTCATTTCAATGAAATTCACTCTCAATTTCCTTAACAAACCCTAACAACGTGCAATCAGGAATAGATCCTTCTCTCTTCGCGCACTTGCAAATTTACGGCAGCAACTCCTCTCTGCACACTCGCGTTTCCTCGATCAACAACAGGTTGCTATACGTTTTCTTTTGGATATGCCTTGTTGATATTTCATGATTCTTGCTTCAAGTTTAATGCAATTGTTAACGTTAATTCAAGTATATAAATGTTTTTATTTTTCAGCCAAAGCTCACTTTATCTGTTGAGTTGGCTTTCAAGGTTTTTTTTTTCCTCTCCCTCTCCCTCTCTCATATTTAGCTTACAGATTCTGTTTTATGTTATAGTATTTTATTTCCATGTTGCTTCTAATTGTGTTTTTGACTCTCTATGCCTTGGTGACTCTAAACTGATCTTTGTGGTTGAGATTGTAAATCTTTGTTACTTGTGCTCTGCTTACCCATGGCATGGTATTGAGCTTTTTGTTGAGTTCTTCTTCCAATTTCTTTAGACTTCCCCTTTTTATGGGACCTTCCAACCATTCTTCGAGTTCCTCCTTGTTGTCATCCTCCTCCTTAGTCATGCTTTGTAGTCCTCTATCATGTGAACATCTTTATGAGTGATTTTTCCTGATATTGCTATAATTTTTGTTGATCTTCATTGACTCCTGTGTGGTTGTAGTTAATTAATTACTACTTTTTTAATAGATATGTAATGTGATATGTTCAAAATTTTTTAAATTTAGGTGTGAAAATGGGGTTATCTGCCAAGAAATCTAGAAAAAGAGAAAAAAGTGACAGTGATTCAGATGACTACAATAATATGGAGTATGAAGAGGTATGCTTTGCTGCAAATTTTTATAGTCTTATTTGTTGTATAACCTTACTGATTTCCTTATGAATTCTGATTAAGGGTTATTTTCCTGATGTAGGTGGAGGATGATTATGATGATGCTGGTGAGGAGGAGGATGAAGAGGAAGACGAGGAAAATGTAACAGATGATGAAGATGGGACATCAGAGTATAGTGAATGGAAGAATGATGAGATGGAACAGCTTGAGAAAGAGTATAGAGATCTTCATCACCAGGAAATGTGAGATTCCACTTAACATTTGTTTTACATATCGTTTATATTGCTGATGAAATGTTAATTTATATTGTTATATTCTAAATTTCTAAATTATGTCACTATCCTATACATGTAAATTTTGAAAACTTGCCAAGATTAACATTTTAGATATGTTTTCACTAAAGTAGGCTGTATATTTTAAGCTTCATATTTGCTGCTAGTATTAGGTAACCTAAAGAATCATAGTCTTGGAATAATGGATCATGATACAATTATTTTTTTGCTTAGATTTTCAGTTGTTATTGTAGTTACCTACATAATCAATAATGATGTCCCATTAGAATGTTTCTTCATATTATTAACTGTTTTGTTCTTCATTGTCTTGATGTATTGCTTACCAATAGCATCTTTTTTACTAAGAGTTATGGTAGCTTTGGTGCTAAGCAGTATATAATTGTGAGAATTTTGGTCAGCCATAAACCTGATGGTTTATGAATCATCGTACTAATTGTTATTGTTAGTTCTTTCTATGAATGACATAAATTATAGTTAATCTATGTTATGATTTCCCTTAATCTATAAGATTGTGCAGATTCTGAGATATCTCAAATTTAACTTTCTACATACAGAGATACTTTGAAGAATTTGAAGCATCATAAGGACGAAGATCTTCTTAAGGGTCAAGCTGTGAAAAGCCAGAAGGTGTGGTTTTATTGTTTGACTTGTACTCTGACCAATGTTTTTTTTTTTTTGTTTCATTATGGTAGAGGCTATTGTGTTTAGTTGTTATTTTCCATTTGTTTAATATTTTGTTTCCCCATTTGCTTTTTAATATAGTAAGTAGAAGAATGTTTATTAGTTGTTAATTTGTCCATAGATGTTGTCAATTTTTCCTATCACATTTTCTTCGGTATCATTTTAGTGGCTTCTGTTACAAGATTGTAGTGAGTAATAACCTAACCAAAATTTGTTTTACCTGAAGGCCCTCTGGTACAAAATTCTTGAGCTTAGGTTCTTACTTCAGAAGCCATTCTCAAGTTCAAATCGATTACCCCAGGTATTTTCCTACCTCAATTTTAACATTATTTACTATTTTATGTTATCTGAATATCACGGCTAAACATGGTAGATTGTCTGCAGGAATCAATCAAGTCTATGTTCTGTGAAAAAGATGAGACAATTAGAGAAGCATATTCAGATTTGATGACTTCGTCCAAGGAGACATTAGATTCTATACTTGAACTGCAAGAGGTGTGATTTTTGCCTGGAAATTTAATTAATAAATAAAAGAATGAGAACTATTTTTCATGTTTGTTTCATTCTACTGTTTACTGGAAAAAGGCCTGTCTGTATTGGATGTATTTCGTTTCTATATTAGTTTTTATATTTATAAAATAAGAGGTGTCAAGTTACTCCAAGAGTAACTTTAGAAGATTTATTTTCTATCTTCACTCTTTATTTTCTTTAAATCTAATTGTCAAAGTTGAATTACTCAATATAATTGTTAGATTAAAAGTAAATGAAGCATGATGATAGAAAGCAATTCTTTTAAAGTTACTCATGGAATAACTTGATCCATTCTCGTAAAATAATATATTTGACTGCTGATTTCATTAGTTACTGATCTTTTTCCTTGTTCCAGGCTCTGTCTGCAAAGAATCCATCAATTACCCAAGCTACAATTGGTATGTGGTTTCTCTATTGTTTTTATTTCCCTCTATTTTTTTCTTGGTTTATCTGTCTTGTTATCTTTTTGTGCTTGGTTGATACCTTACTTTAATGCTTGTGGCATATCTTTGGAGTTGCTATTGAGGGTTACATGCAATAGCTCATCCCTTGAAACAAATGGTAAAATAGCACTGTCATTGCTTTAGGAATATGAATTTTATTCAAGGGATTTTTGTTTACTCCTTTTTTGATGTACTTGTTATATGGCCCAGGCTTCACTCTTATTTTGGTATTATGTAGTATGTACTTTAAGCGTAGAAACTTATCCATTTGGAAAACTTTCATGAGATGTTTGTCATCAAGTTCCTATTATAATCTTTAACCAACTTGGTTAATGAAGATGAACACACTTGTCAATCAAAAAATAGTCATTAAGCTAAAAATGGTTGGAAGAATTGAGAGAAGGAAAAGTTGGAAGTGGGGCACTATTCTGTCGGAATTTGATTAGTTCTTGTTAGGGAAGGAGAAGTATACAGGTGGAAGAGTTATCTATCGATGTACTTCTTTACAAATATTCAAAGGGGAGTCTTCCGATTGTTGTATTATTTTCTAGTCTTAGCCCAGATATGGTTGAAAGCAGATAGAGTTTCTAGTCTTGACCAAACAAGAATAGTCCACCCCTTTTTTTTTTTTTTTTTTTCTTTTCATTTTAGTTTAGATGTATTGAAATTTTAAATCAGTTTCTTTTTTTTTTTGGGGTGTTAATGGTTTCTAAATTGAACAATTCAAAAAAATTGTCATGCTACCATGTAATCACATAAAATTAGATTTCATCTTTATGCTCATATTCTTGTATCTATTCTTGTATAAATTATGCAGGTTCACCGAAGAACATACATTTGTTACTGCATTTCTGCAAAATTATTGAAAATGTGTTTACTTGAATTGATAAAGTTGTGACACACTGTTAGGGGACAGGATGAGAGTGTTTAGAAGTATACTCTTGAAGGAATATGACAGACAATAGGTGATTAGGTTGGTAGCATAAATAAGAGGGGGAGATAGAGCAGAGGAGGTTGGGACATTTGTAACAGAAATCTGCATTCAGCTGTACTGTAAAGGGATCTTTTCCCTTTGAAGGGTGCGTTACCCTTGAGAAGTGAATAAACCCATTTTTTTTTCATTCTTTCCACTATCTATTCTTTTTCTTCTTTGGATATACCAATTGGTGTGACATGTCAAAATGTTATCAAAGCCTCAAATGCTGGTTTTAGGCAAGGTTGGTATAATAAATGGGGAGTGGAGGATTGACAAATTATTCTTTGTGTATGCTATAGTTGATTGTAGGTTAAACAATGAATTCTGTGTCTATTTTATGCTTCCCTGTTTTCTGTTGAGAAATCTGGTACAAAACTCTCCATATTTGACATTGATTAATGTTGGTAAAGTTAATATTCTTATGTGACTTTCAATATTGGTTGCATATTTGCTTGAACCTTGAATTCTGCTTCAAAGTAACTTACTATTTCACCCTCTTCTTAAAGGTTTAGAAGGGTCATCAAAAGATTCAGAAGTTTCCAAGCATTTGGATGACAATCTCGATCAGGAGTGGTCACAGATTTCACAGATGCACAAGAGGTATTTTTATAATCTTCTAAATGCAATTTTATTCAGCTACCCAGTACACATTCATTTCTATATGAAGGTGCTGCAACATCGAAACTTCTACCTTTTGTTTTATCACTTTTATCAGCTTTTTTCTTTACTTCAATGTTGCTTGAAAATTCCCAAATTATGCTTTTTTTGCACTTCATTTACATTTCTATTTTTAATATGTTGTGACATGATTCTAATACATGTGATGCTATTCACGATTGTATCTTGCAGTATAGCATCTTTCAGAGACAAGTCAATCAACAAATGGCAGCGGATGACACAAGTGACTACTGGTGCTGCTGCCATTAAGGGCAAATTACATGCTTTTAATCAGGTCAGGCTCATTAACTGGACTTGGGATTATTCCTTCTTGTGATAGGAGGGTTACTTACTCCTAGTTTTATTTCCCCATCATAGGATATCAGCAATCAAGTTGCTGCTTATATGAGAGATCCAAGTAGAATGGTCAAGCAGATGCTGCTGAGAAGATCAGCTGTTAATATATTTGGATCTGTAAGTCATTCTCTTAATCTTTAGTTGTTTTAAATCGTGCTGGCAGATTCCATATTAGGCTGAAACAGGTTTATGTCAAAAGTTAAATTAAAAGCTGATTTATTTATTTAGCTTTATCATTGACTGCCACATGTCTCCAGGTTCCAGAGGTTGACGATAAACCTAAAGAAGCGGTAAGGCTTATACAGAACTAATTTCTGAGTTTTGCGTTTGTTATCACTTATTTGCCAGAGTTCAGAAGTTATAGAATGTTTCTTAGCCTTAGGTATTGAGTTGTTCCCTTTTCACTATTTTCAGTATTTTTATGGTACAAGGCCAGTGGTAAAAATATTGTATTTGCTAGAAATTAGACTATTACTTAAAGACTTGTTTATTATGATACGCACAAAATTGAGAATTTTGATTGCCAACTACTTTCAGCGTGTTTGGAAAACTGTTTTTTAACGAAAACGTAAAAACACACTTTCCAAAGCACCAAAATACAAAACAATTATTTCTATCTTTTCCGTTCAACGTACGTTTGTAAAATTTTAACAATAAAACAAACACACTTTATGAGGTTTATTCACATTGTAAATTTGTTATCCACTTGTCATTATCTGTCTTTCCGGCTGACTTCCCTTCTTGAGTTATCTTGTCTTTCTTTCTTTCTCTCTCTACCATGATTCATACTTATCAAATCATTTGGTATTGATTCTGTGTTTAATTACTGTTACTGTCCTCATTTGAATAGCTGACAATTTATTTTCCAAAGATCATAATATACCTTTTTTTTTTTAAATAAAGCATGGTAGTCAAAATTGCTAACTTCGTTAAGATAATCTGAATTACGATCTTGAGGGAGTGCTGCGATCTTTGATTTCACTCGATCAAAATTTGGTGAGATCAGGTGAGGTAATCATGCAAGAATTTGGGATAGTGCAATCTCACTGCATCTGTTACCCGTCCTGAATGCTGCATTTTTAAAAAGCCTAAATCTTCCAAATCTGATCCCATTTTTGGCTATTTATCTTCTTCTTACCTGAAAAACCCATCACTGGACTGCTGCATAGTACTTATCTTTCTCCATCGTTTCTTTTCTTCTGCACCTTTTCTAGCTGTGCCTATTTGTGTGTGCGTGTAAATTTTGTAGGATCTTACCGTTTGTAATTTACAATCTTAACTTTCCTTCCCGGTCCTAAGCAAAATCTCAATTTTGATTACCTTGCTGTGCAGGAAACTCATATTGGTGGTAACCCTGAACTTCTGGACGATTCTGAATTTTATCAACAATTGTTGAAGGAATTTTTTGAGACAGTTGACCCTTCATCATCTGGTAAACACTTTCTATTTGGCTGATTAATTTTCTTATAATATTATTTCTATTTCAAATACCATGGGACTATTTAGGGCTTTTAATTATTATGATTATAACGTTAATGGGCATGCCATGTTGATACATAAAATGTTATTTTAGGTGTGCTATTTGGTATAGTTTTTATTGCATGCATACTTCGAAAGGCACACAACTTTTAACATATTCAAATGACTGAATTTGAGTTTAGCTGGACTCACCAACAGGACGTTTTTTGATTTTTCACTTTCTGTACGGTCTAGATTTTGCACTTGCGCCCTAGAGGTAGCTACTAGCATTTCCCATCAATGTATGAAATGTGAATTATTCACAATGCTTGCTGATGAACACTGCCATCTTTGCTAGCTTGTGAGGATGTAGAATTGTTTTTCCTCACCACAAAATAGTCGTTGGTTATCTCCCTAAAAATAAATTGTCTGCGTTTTCATCAAGAGTGCAAGTCCATTTTCTCATTTTCTACTATTTTGATTTGTACAGAGAAAGCATTTTATGCTTTGAAGAGAATGCAACCAAAGAAAAGAAAAATTGTTGATCGTCGTGCCTCAAAAAGTCGCAAGATAAGGTATCGAAGGGTTGCTATTTTTTCCCCTTTATGATTGTGTGTATATATATATATATATATATATATATATATATATATGTTGCAATCATTTGTGAACTAATTTTTTTAATGATTTGGTGAAGGTATAATGTTCATGAAAAGATAGTAAATTTTATGGCCCCACTACCTGCCAATATTCCTCCTATGGCTCCGAAGTTGTTTGAGAATTTGTTTGGATTGAAGACACAAAGATCTTCTGCTGCAGCCTCATAATAATGGTTGGCAGACAAATATTGGCCTTACAGTTTTGCCCTGTCTTTATATATGTTGTACTAATATGCCTCCTACATGTTGATTAATGAAGAATTTGATATTTTCCCCCTCAGGAGACTATTTCTGTAAATCAATTCATTTGCCTCATTTCTTTGGTGTTCATGTATGATGGGAACCTACCCCTTGGCTCTAATATAATAGATTATAGTTCCGAATTTGCTTTAACATTTTAGTTTTAAAATGCGTGTTTGCTACCATGTAATAGATTATAGTTCAAAATCAGCCTCATGAATTCATTTAGTTTTCGACCCGCAGTGCCAAAGTAAATTTGATGCTCAATGCTAAGTTAAAATGAATAAGTGAAGAGATCGTCGTAGATGATTTAAACTTTCAAGTACATTTAATGATAGAACTCGAGACACCGAAGGACGATGAACCCATCTTTTTAAATCTGTCACTGGCAAATAATTATTCTTGGGTTTTCTTGTTTTTTGGAAATAGTTTTAAAAAAAATGATTAAAATATCTTTTTAGTCTATATAATTTTACTAATCTTTTAGTTTTTATAATTTAAAATAATTTTTTTTACTTCATATGCTATTTTTTCAATCTTTAATTTTTATAGTTTAAGATAAATTTTTTTAATCTATATATTTATAAATTTTTAATTCTTAGTCAATGTCATTATTTTTTTAAATGTTATCTCTTTTGTATTGATATGATAAAGATATTAATTTAATTATGTATATTTAATATCAAATTTATTTTTTAAAAATACTTTAAATCAAGTCTTTTGTTACTTGGTGTTTCTTTTGTATTATTATATATATGTTGAAATAATTTTTTTTTTTTTTATAAAATTGAAAACTTTTATCATGTCAACATAAAAGAGACAGTGTTACAAAAAATTCAACAATTAGAAATAAAAATAATTAAAAAATTATAAGTATATGAACTAAAAAAAATATTTTAAACAATAGAAACTATAAAAGATTGAAAATAATAAGTATAAGAGTTAAATGCCTACTCTAAATTATAAAAATTAAAAGATAAATAAGTGAAACTAAATGATTACAAAAATATATTTTAAAAAAAAAATCCAATTTGAAGGTAGGCTAGCTCACTTATTTTTGGGTCGAGATCCACTTTAGAACATTTGTTCTTTCAGTCCAATGTGCTTTGGGTACTTTTGTTTAAGTACCGGTTGTCTTTTGTTGCAAAATCAAGTTTGTATATTGTGACAGATTTTAATATAAAATATATTCTCAAGTTAATACTTATGAACACATTTTAATCATTTTTAGCCGCTTAAAATTAATTTTTTTTTAAAACCTAAAATTTCGGGCTATCTTTAGGTTTTCGTCAAAGAGGCTAGGATGACCGTGATAACCCATTTGAAGGTTGTGTTTAAAATCATTGAAGGCGAGTGTGAATGGGTTTAAGCAAATAAATTACTTATCTGAGACCATAATTACTTTTCATTGATTATTTGGTTACTCTTTTACCTATAACCTATTTAATGAGTTTTATTTAGCAATAATTTTAGGTCCTTCATAATGAATTATTTTGAATATATAACATGTTAATTTTTTTTTTTAAATACATTGTATGTATAGCAATCATAGTTCAAATTCTCAACTTTCGTATTTTTTCTTAATTTTTGACAGAACACTCGCAATGGCCTAAACAATCAGATAACTCTTTGATAAGTTTGTTGATTTGATTATCGACACCAATTAATCTTGCTCAGTTATTCATGTGTACACGAACAAATTAAGTATCTATTTTGATGTGTTACACTTGAGGAAAAAAAATTATTAGACAAGTGGGTGGTAACATAATAAACAAAGTTGTGATATTAGCTATTACGACTAATCCTTTTATCCGATAAGGGAGTCATTATTGTATCCTTATAATTTAAAGTGTTTTAGAACGATCTTAGACAAATAAAAACATAATTAGTTGCTATTTCCTTTATTTTGTCATTTATTAGTAAAATAAAATTATTTGTGTTTGTGTGTCTTTTTCTGGAACCCAAATTAAAATTAAACCAAGTAATGGCTCATCGTCTACTTCCACAAACTACTTAATTAACGCTGGGAAGAGTGAAAACTAAGGCTGATACATTGTTTGTTCCGTCTCAGAATAAGTCTATTTTATTTATCAAATCCTGTTATTGTAGAGTCTGAGGATTTTGGAGGGGAGGAATAGACTTTTGAGTGGGATTGATGAGTTGGAAAGGTTTTTTGGTGTTTGGTGATAAAGAATATGTTCTATGGTCCGATGCTATCATTTCGTTACTTGCCAATCAACTGTGAAGGAAATTCAATTGCAGGAGTTAGGAGTTGGAGTTGGAATAGTCGATCTGTTGCATAATAATGAAGCTCACTTTTGCATATATATACAATGAGCCACACTTGTTGGATTAGTCTAGAATATACTGTTCCAACACATTCTATATTAATTTGTAAAGATACGGTACAAATTCTTTTTATTTATACAATACTAATACAAGAAACACACTCCGTACCTATGTGTATTTTAAATAAAATAAAAGATAAAATAACATAACAGATTTATGATAACGTGGATATATTACAATTTTATATTGGAGGAGAAGGAGAGGTTTGTAAGCGAGTGAGAAATATTGTGCAAAGGGTAAATTAATCATAAAAATGTGTACAGCATTATGGATTGACATAGATAGATACTTTAACAATAAATGAATATTGCCCATTTCACAGTTGCTAATTCATATACAAACACGATAATTATATTGATGATATGATTCCAATACTAATAATAACAAACTGATTCATATTATTATCAATAATGACACGTGACTCATATTTTAATAATCTGTCATTCTCTTCCTTATAATCTGCAGTACAACACATTAAGAATATGACACAAAAAAATAAGGTGTTCCCACTTGCAAATCTGCTTACTTAAAGCGTGTTCTATGTTCACTCTTCCTCCCAATAAATAGTTCAACAACTTTCCCCAACGGTGTTAGAACTCCATTGAATATACAAAGAAAAACTACCCAAAAACATGTGAGGGTTATCCATGATGGGAATGGGTTCAGAAATATGGTCTCAATTAGGAGCATTGAGTGCTACCATTATGGTAGCTTACAGCATATATGACAAATTCGTCGCATTCAGTATCCGTGCCTATGTCCAAATATACTTGGATAAACTACTAAGTTTTCTATCTCCTAACATCCAAATCACGTTCCCTGAATTCTCAGGCGAACGCATAATACTCAGTGAACTTTTCACTTCCATCCAAACCTACCTCATCTCAACGAGCCAAGAGGCTCAGAGCCGAACCTGTTCGCGCTCTTCATGGACGATAACGAACCTCAGCAAGGAAAGTTGGCCAAACTCAAGAACCGTAAGCTGAAGCTCTACACAAATTACACAAGTTACGGTATAGTGGAGACACATCGTGTTTGAGCACCCTGCCAGGTTTGAAACCCTAGCTATGGAGCAAAGTATGAAAGAGAAGATTATAAAAGATCTTGTCACGTTCAAAGAGGGGAAGGAGTGTTATGATAAGATAGGCAAGTCTTGGAAGCGTGGCTATTTGCTATATTGTCCTTCAGGGACTGGGAAATCTACCATGATTGCTGCTATGGCTAACTTTTTGTACTATGATGTGTATGATCTTGAGTTAACAGCGATGAGGGATAACACGCAGTTGAGGACTTTGTTGATTGAGACGACGAGTAAGTCTATTAATGTGATCGAGGACATTGATTGTTCTCTTGATGTTACTGGGAAGAGGGAGGTGAAGAAAGAGAAGGAAAAAAAGAGTGGGAATGAGGGAGAGAAAGATGTTTTCAAGGGTGATGGAGAAGAGAGTAAGGTGACTTTGTCAGGGTTGTTGAATTGCATTGATGGGATTTGGTCGGGTTGTGGGGGAGAGAGGATCATAATTTTCACGACCAACTATGTTGACAAGTTTGATCCTGCTCTTATTAGTAGTGGGAGGATGGATATGAAGATAGAGTTGTCTTATTGTAGTTATGAGGCTTTTAGGGTTCTTGCCAAGAACTATTTGGATGTTGGTTACCATGATTTGTTTCCCGTTGTTGAGAGGCTGTTGGAAGAGACCAACGTGACACCTGCTGATCGATGTTGCCGAGAATATGATGCCTACGTCGAAGAGCGATGATGCTGAGAGGTGCTTGAAGAATTTGATTGGATCTCTTGAGAAGGCTAAGAAGAAGGGTGATGAAGATCAGAAGCCAGGTTGAAGCAGGAGAAGGGAGAGGAAGTGTTAGCATTGGATGAGGACAAGAGTGATGGGAAAGAGGTGAAGGAGAATGGTTTCGTCCATTGATTTGGAAAAAAGATTTTTAACCACTCTTATTTTTGGCCTTTCGGCAGTAAATACTTCACATAAATAAGTAATTAATATGATTAATAATGTGATCCATATAATAAGAAAACAGAGATAAAGAGAATGTTAAGTGTTATTTGAATATTTGAAAATGTGGGAGTGTCTAAAAAATAAAACTAATATATATGCTTATGTTTATATTGCGTAGATTCTATTAGGAACCAGAATGGATCTACACTTAGTACAATAGTCTAGGATTTCATACTTATCGGTTATGTTTAAACATTTTACTATTTTAAAGATATTAACACAATAACATTTATCATTTTATATATCTCTTTCTATCTCATCATACACTTATCATGTCTATATTTTTTTTTCTCCTTTTCTTCTTTCTATAGTTTTCAAATAGGTTTTTAGGTGTTTTAAGATCATTTGTTTTGTTTTATTATTATTATTATTATTATTATTATTATTATTATTATTGTTTTGAATGCTAAACTATATTATATTTGATATATTTTATAGAGGAGTTTCAGCAACATTTTTTTCTTAAAACACACATTTTTTATTGATTAAATATTATTGCAGATTACAAAATCAACTGTTATTAAGTAGAATGCAATATTAATCAAATTTTGTAACTTTCATAAATTTCACCCAATTTAAGAAGTGTATTTAAAAGAGTTGTTAAAAATTGTTGTCAACATTAAGGATGAACATGAGTTTAAATCAATTCAATGATCAAATGAAATCAAACCAATTAAAATTAAAGAGAAAATTTGGATTAGTTTAGACTATCGAATGAATTCAAATATGAAAATTAAAAATTCAATTAATTTGATTTAAATCAAATTTTATTTTTTAGGAATCAAATCGATTCATCTAATTAAATAAATATTATTTTTTCAATCTCATAATAAATGTTGTTTT